TAATATATGTATCCTGAGAGTTAAACCAGAAGGTAATATAAAGCTATCTTTTCTTCCATTCTCCTCTCACATCCTAGGGATAGGAGCCAAGAATTGAGGAAATGGAACTCTTGAAAAAGAGCAACATACAAAACATTCTTAAATGAGGGTATTATTTGCACCAATTAATTTATACTTATTCAAAAGTCCTCATATTAATCTTCTATGCAAATAAAACATTTCCTGGACTTATAAACTGAAAAGGTGTTAAAACCAGAAACAAGTGGGGGTTTGTGCCTAAGAGCAGCATTTTGTCCCGGCAGACTCTCTTCCTCCCCTTCCCAAACTCATAATTCAGTTCTCATATCAGGCATGAAGTGAAATTACAGCTCAGTGTGGAAAATTAGGACCTGAACTTGCAAAAACAAACAGCCTCCCTTTATAACATGGCTCCAAGACTTCCAATAAACCCTGTCCCTTAAGCAGTGCCATGTATAGCCAGGCCTGCAGAACTGCATTGATGTTGCTCAGTTAGCCACAAGAAAAAATGCTAGGAAAAGTGGAAAATCATCTAGAACAAACAGATTAGATCTGGAGATACTAGTCATAATGTTTTCTTCCTTCCTGTATTTTCTCTGCTCCCCTCCCCATCACATGTTTGTACTAAAAGCAGGTTTCCCATCTTCTCTTTCCAACTAGCAATCTAAGGGGGGAAAAATAAAGGAGAAAAAAAAAAAAAAAAAGAATGATTTACTATCTCTTCACATTCATTATAAAAGTTTCCAGGCACAACAAATCCTGTGGGCATGGAAAAATTTAACAGTGCCTCTTCGTCAAGCTTGAGGTTGCTGGAGGATAATCAGTAAAACATGTCTTTCAGAAATCAGAAGGAAAGGCATGAAAACATTTCAGAGGGAAAATCCCACCAAACCATGCAAAAGGATTGCATTCGGATAGGGAAAGGAGAACTGGGAAAACAAGGCACAGGATTTGTCATGAGTAGGAAGAGCTACTTATTTTGCAGAAAAAATCTACTGCAAGCAGGTTTTCTGTCTAATTGATTAGATGCATGTACTACTGTTTGATGGAGTGAGCAGCTGTTTCTTCAAAGAACCACAGTGATGTAGCTTTTGATTCTGGAAGATCACACATGAAGTGTACACAGAAGCAAAACTCTCTACTCTGCAACTTTAAAGGTTTCCCAAAAGACTACCTGAGCATCAGAGTTCTCTGTGGTACATTGTATTTCCTACTACATCAGGAATAGACACAAAATACATCAATAAGAATGAGGAGTTAAAGCCTAGCGGGATACACACTGCTGCCAGAGCGCAGCTGTATTACTGAAAAACCTTTGAGCTCACATCATCAGCCAATTCACCTTGTTTGAAATCTATGACCATTTCTATGTATAATCTTTCATCTTCATGAACCACAAAGATCAACAAGTTTCAAGTAAATTCAGCTGGTGAAATGCTGTCGATGTTGCAAATCAAGTGCTAGTTAGGAACCCCTAAAGGAATTACTCATGGTCAGCTTTGTGTTGCCTTCCTTGGGAACTCTGTCTCCTCTGGTTTCTAACACCTAACAGTGAGCCAGCACCTAAAAACTGCCTTTGAGAAACTACAGAGAAGATTTACCACATCCCCTGAGAGAATTTCCTATGCCCAAAGGATGGAATGTCCTAAAATACACCAAAAATTATTGCTGGAAATGTGGTGCTATGAAAACTATCAGGTTAAAGACATTCATGAGCTGACAGTAGCAGCACAATTACAAAGTTCCTGAAGACAGCCAATTGTTTTTTCATATTTCTTTTTAATAGACTCTTGAAAGAATAAAACACGTTTTGATTAAACTCTTGAAATGAGATGAGCCTTTCCAATTACTCTAGGAACTAGAGAAGTTTGTTAAGTACTGTGAACTGCTTTCACCAGCAGACCAAGGATCTCTCTTGTCCTGAGGACAGAATCTATGTAATGCAGGGACAATGGTTTAAATATCTCACAACAGCTATTTGCAACTGAACAACAAAGGTATTGAAATAGATGGATAAAGACAATCTTACTTGAGCCACAAAGCACCGAGATACAGCTCAGAAGAGCTTATGTCAATACTCATTGGGAAAAACTCTTTTCAGGATAATGAGAATGAACAGGTTCAAAATGCTAAAAATAACTCCAGGTTTGTTACGTAGCACGAGGAATGGGGCTGGAATCAACTTCTCCCTCCTGATGGGAAACAGACTGTTCTCAGGTAGACATGGTAACTGCATGCCTTGCACATTGGATTGATACCTCCTCCCCCCACAAAAAGAACGAGAAACACCACAGTCACAACAATGATCAGTCACCAGCATGATTATATTCTCAAATTAATTGTAATCAGTACACTGAGATATGGGCAGAACCAAAACATTCTTTCCATTCATCACTACATCATCTGAACCTTACAGTAACTACAGTTAAATATTATGAAGATTATCACAGAGAAATTCAGACTAAAAGCCATCATATGAAGAACAAAAATTTCCATACAGGTGAGGAAATGAGTATTGTCTCACCTACATGATCCCATTGCTTTTGGAAAGCACTTATAGCCAATTCCCAAGGAGAGAAAGGCAATTCAAAGCATGTAAATCCACTCAGCAGAAATAAAAATGGATACTAACTTTGCTTCTTTTGTCCAGATGAAAGGCAGTCCAGAAGGCCTTACAGTGGCAAGGAAACAGGAATTCTCACCAGCTGAACTGGTGAATAACTTATTTACCTTTGTTACCTCCAAGAAAAAGGGCAGCATTTTAGCCACAAAGGCAAATCTCAGGAAGCTTGGAGAAATGAAGAAAAACATTCTGAGCTGATGATAAATTCAAATAAGAGACAGCCTGTCCCCCCTGCATGTTAATTCGAGCATTGCCTCAGCCTAGGCACACAGACAAGTCTTTTGCTTAAACCAGGCAGTACTCGGAGCTTGCTGGCCCAGCAGCACACCTCAAACACCGGTGATTCCTCCCCTGCCAATGTAGCAAGGCCACTGCTGCTGAACAACTGCTCATCAGTAAGAACACAAAGAAAGGGAGAAGAATAAACAACCCAAAATAAAGGGCCACACTGAGTCAGAGACCAGATCATCTTACCCAGTTCTCTTGCCTCCCAGCAAGAGCTGAGATAACAATGTTACACCAGTGCAGCAGGCATGGAGGGAGCACTGCCTCTCCAGCAATATGAACATTCCTTCAGCTCCCAGCAATAGCAGCTCCGGGATTTCCTGAGCCAAAGGTGATGGGTTTGCACTTCATAATCCTCTGTGGATTTTTTCATCAGTGCAACAAAGTAAACTGAGTGAGCTTTAAGTGGAAAGATAACTGCTAAAAGCCACAAGAAGGAATAAAAGGACTGGCAGGGAGAGTTAGAAATTCGAGTGTCCCTGGCAGGAAGAGAAAAGGAAACCATCACACAAAACTTTGGTCCAAGTTTTACATTATCCATTACCGTTCAAAAACCAAGAATTTCTCAAGAGTTTTCTTTTTCAGTTCATGTAATCACAAGATAAGAATCCTAGAGGCAGAGCTATTACTTAGAAGTTCAAGTGTATCAAGAATGTGGATTCTCCTATGCTGGGGAGAGCCCAAATGATGTTTTTTATTAAAATATTTCAAAAGAATAATTATTTTGCAAACTCAAATATTTAAGGTGTTTCTAACTTAGTTGGCAAGTCATTATGTTTTGGCTGGACTTCAGCACAGTATTTACCATTCTGACAATACGTAAAAGAAAATGAAAACATTTTCTCCTCTGTTTTTCAGACCTACAGAGCTTAGCAAAACACAGCAGAGATTTGATACAGCCTTGCTGGACTGAAACTATAAATATGTAACAGGGCAAAGGTCTTCCAGTTTCAGAAGCTTACTTGATTTCTTCTGAGCATTATGCTTTTCAGGAAGCAGAATGGGAAGTAAGTGTTTTTAAGTATTTTTTAATTTATTTTTTTCTAGACACTTTCTGACAGCAGTGGGTATAAAGAAAGACCAGTAAACACAAACCCTGTCCTGACTATCTATAAGAACCCATGAGAAACGTGGGTATCATGAAGTTCCCCACCAAGCTGCTGCATTTGTGTGCAGCTCTCTTCTGTGCATCACAGTTCTGACTATTATATCCCAACAAACCTTAAGACATGCTCATCTCTCCAGCTTTGGAAAGAGGAAAGCAGCTGTCTTTTCACTGCTTTCTAAAATTTCTTGGCTGAAGAGATTGTGTTAACAGTGTAGCAAGGTAGAGGTTAAAAAAATAAAAAGAAAAAAGGTTATACCATCATCAGAAAGCAATTTTTCTATCTCCTCTTACCCACCACTGATTTGTAATTTGTATTGACAGGATTCCTGCCAACTTAACACACTACTAGTTAATGATATGAATTCCCCTCTGGTTCATCCTGAAAAAAGATACCAGCAATAATAAAAACTCCATTCTTAGCTACATTCATAGCTGCAGAGTGATTTCAGGAAGTAAATTAATATTTTTAAAATTAAAACTTAAAGAATCAAACTTTTTCAATATACCAATCACCAAATACTGGATGGCTTGATACCTGCATCAGATGATAATTTTTAATTTTTATCACAACATAGTGGATTTCAAGATCCTCATATTGCCTACTCTTAATAACTCCAGAGTAAAATTAAAATTATTTTCATTCTGGCCCCAAGTATTTACAGCGATCACTATTTGATTTACAGCACCATTCAAGTATCAGCAGTATTGATGTAATGCAAATTGAGAGAGTGCAGTACAAACTCTAGTTCTCTGCAATCCAGTAAAGCAACTGCTCCTTTAATGCATTAATGAGAAGTTCTTACTTTCTGCCAAACGCAGCTCACACTGGCAGTCTTGCTGATTTCAGTAAGACTATCTATTGAGTGAGGACACTCACGCAAGATGGAACCTGTAGGTCTAGACCCTTCCATCCTAATTTCTAAGTAAAAAGCAGCACATGAGTCTAAGCAGGAATTTAACACTTACGCTTCCACAGTCTGTTCCTCACCATCTTCATCTGAGCTGCTACACGTTGCATCAGAGTCCAGGTCCTTCTCCACACGAGACAGCAGCCCTCCAGTAGAAAGTGCAAAGCCACGGATTTCACCTGGTGCGACGCTAACTCCGTTCTGTACATCCACACTCAAACTACTCTCCGAAGGAGTTGTGTTGTTTTCCGGCCAACCTTCAGTGCATCTGAGGGAGCTATTGCTCAAAAATCGAGCTGGCTCATGGAAAACCTTCATTCTCTGAAGCTGATGTTTCACAAAGCATTTCAGCTGCTGATCACAGTGTTTGATAACATGCTTTGCCAGGAGCATTTGTAAACGCTTCTGAGTTCTTTTGGCGCGACCGATTTCCATTTGTTGCTTAGTGACACACTGGAGTAAGCGAGCACACACCTCCTCCTGGGTGCAGCTCAAAATCCCTTCTGAAGGCCCGCGAAGAATTTGGTGTAATAAATCCCCTTTTATTGTTTCAGTGCAGACTTCCAAAGCCCTACCCAAAACCCCATTCTTCTTGTACCATTTACCATTTAAAAGTTGCATTTCTTCTGCATTACTGGATTCAGTTACACTTGAACCTGAAAGTCTCTGCATTCCTGCTAAGTTTGGAGATGTGGTCTCTGAAAACACTGCCCCTTTGACCTGTTGCTCGGGTTCTGAATGACTAATATGACCAAATGATGTGTCAGCCCCATTATGTAATGACTTTCTCATCTTGGAGCAGCCGGGCTCTCCTGCTTTCGTTTGCTTACCAGTTTTGTTGTTAAACGCAGAATTTGTACTCATTAACAAGACAGACTGATAGCACTTGGAGGATGGTGGGGAACCAAAATGCTGCACACTGAAGATATCATTCCTGAGGCTGGGCTCAGCAGTGGGGAACCCCAGGACTGAGCAAGTAATCCGTGCGATGGAGTCCTCTTTTATCTTCTCTTCCACTGCTCTGGAATTTTCCATGCACAAAGCTGTATCAGACTCCATAGCTCTAGAGGACAAAGAAGGTGACAAGTGGATACCATGACCTTTTGTTGTTGCCTCTCTGAGAGCTGGTGTCATTATAGCTACGGTAGGTAGTTTACAGCAAACCTGAAAATAACATGGGCCATGTAAATTTTCTCATTTTCATGACACAGTACAAACACAACAACTCTGTTAGACATTTCATTCTCTCAACATCATTCAAAAATTCCATAAAAAAGGACGTTATCTAAAGAACACAGACTATGTTACCTCCCAAGTCAAACAAGAACACCCTTTCTGTTTTTTCTTTATTTCATTCAGAGGCTGTTCCATGTGCAATGAAAGCCTTTACATCTCAGGGGAATAACTGTTCATACCTCATTTCATTTTTGATTCTATCAGTCTGAGAAATAAGAACCAAAAAGTTCAGGTCTGACATCTAACCTTGCCTAAACTGAAAAACATGTCCTTGAGCAATGTGACTGGCACTATTGTGAGAAACATATTTACTGTAAATCTATATAAAGAAAGCATTTGATTAATTATTATGTATTCTTATAAATACACATTAGAAACCAATCAACAAGGCTAATGCCTTCAAAATAGAAACCTCTATGTTCTGAAGTTTCCTACCAAAAAAGAATTCTTTCCTGTGCCTTTGAATACCACTCTACTCATCAGGCACTGTCTGTGTAATAATACAGATTATTTTTCATAACAAATTGAGAAATGACAGTTCTCCTTGACAAATCCTTTTGCTTGTGGCTTGCCAATAAACATAGGGCTCCCAGACTTTGGGATCAAAAGACCAATGTCAACCTTCACCCCTTCTTGTCAGCAGCTATGTCATACTGTATCTACTCCACGCAGGAATCACTCGCACAGTACTTACAGCTTTGTTTAGGAGATGGTTAAATAAACCCAATGAATGATCTAAATGAACATGGCCTGCAGAAGCCTGAAAGGTAAGTTCCTGTCAGCCCTTCATTAAGAAGCTAGAGACAAAATCAGAAACCATATGAGCAGTAGCAAAAGTGAGTGCAGCACAGCAATGCCACAGTAAATTCTGTTGAACTGTGTACTAGTTGAGCAGCACTTCCACTGCCCTCCTTTTCGTGTCTCCAGTTTCCTTGATCTCCACAGCAACTCCCTAGCTCAGCAACTTTCAATGCACACATCCCATAAGGGGTCAATGATTCTGAGACTACCACATATGGATCTTAAGAAAAGATCTGTCTGAAGCCTTAGCTTGTTTATAACTACAGGTTTTTTATACTGAAGGTGCAAACATTCAAGTGAGATGTGGAAACCTAGGGAGCTGAGAAATACCAGTTTGGATACTTGCTCCTTAACCCTCAAAACATGAAGGAAAACACAGAGAGCCACACGCTCCAGTACTGCCTTACCACTCTCTGTATGCTTTATTCACCTTTCATTGCTCATGTGCACTTCATCCATAAGGTTTTCACCACCCTCCTAGCATCACTGGCACCAGGTTTGGTGGTCCTACTGCTAATCATAAATGATGCCATTAAAATCCCCAGGATTTTAACCTTTATAAATAAACCGATAACTTCAGTCTTAAGAGGAGCCCAGCACAAAGTCCTCCCAGTGGAGAGCTGTTCAGAAAGAACCCCATTCTGGGATCAGACAGGGGAATGCACTGTTGAGAGCTGGAGACCCAAATCCTAAAGGCACTGGTGACTCAGCAATGCTCTCAGCACCTGGCTGACTCGTGCCTTTCCTCTTGTAAAAGCCAGCAGGCCTGCAAATTTGTGAATCCAAAGGAGGGTGAATTCAGACACCAATGCCTCCCTGGCCCTAACATAACGGCAAATAACTATAGCAATCAGAGCAACCGTGCATGGCTAAAATGTCAGGGGAGAGAACAGAACAGTTCCTCTGTGGGGTTAATGTGAGCTCAGGAGTTCCTGTGTTTGACCTCTCCCTGAGAATTCCAAGAAGCTCTCCAAGAAGAGCACCATCAACCTGGTGGATGCACCTAGCAATGTATCTATAACTCTTCCAGCTTCACCATCCACCTCCCTTAGTCTGAGTGGTTCAACAGGCACAGGTTGCTACTCCTGAAACCCAGGAAACATCCACACACACAGCAGCTGTTCAGGCAAAAAAGTACTTTGGAGATGTGGATCATACACCTGTATGAAGATGGAGGTTATTCAAAGAACTGACAGCACAAAACTTTATAGTGCTCTGTTTTAACTCCATCACATTCCCTCAAACACCACATACCCTTCTGGTACAATTTCAAATTTCCAAAATTGTAATGAATACCATTGCTAATTTTTTTTTCCATCTGGGGGACTTCTTTTTAACTCTTCTAGGGGAAAGAGGGGAAGAATCAAAAACCCTCTATGGAACACAAACACTGAACTAAAGAGCACTGACAAATCACTCATTTGGAGTGCCTGACCAAGTATGCTTAAACTACAAAGCAGCTAAAAAATAAGTAAAATGCTTTTTAAGAGGGAAATCACTCAATTAGCCCCTTACTCAGCAACTTGGAAATGTCATACAATGTTTTTGCCCTGAAGACAGTGTGAGATACTCAGGTATGCTCATCTCACTACAGTGACATCAAAAAGAACTCATAAAAGCTGGTACTGCCACAGTGTCCAGCCCTTGGCATTTCTCCAAGACGTTCAGTCATACAATTTACATTTTTACACATTTTATTTAATTTTGGCAGGAAGCTGCTAAAATTATTTAACTCCACCCATACTGGAAGGGAGTTCCCAGAGCAAAACCTACTACCTTGGAGGGGGGTAGAAATAAAGGCAAAGAGGGAGGGAAGACAAGTACTGCACAATGGCATACCAGAAAAGTATTTTCCTTCTGGGAACATTTTTTTTGTCATAGGTAAACCATTTCATAGATTTTTTTTTCATTGTGTATAACTTGAGGTTTCAAAACCAGAACAGCTGAAATTCTGCTAAACTGGCAAACAGTTCGCTTTTCATCTACTGAATAAACACTCCACTTGAAAGACTAAAAAGTACTGTAAAATGAAAAACTGACATTAAATAAGTACTGGGGAAGGAAAGAAACAAGTACTAGACAAACACAGTAAAGCAACTGATGTTTAAAGTGACTTTATGCTTATCCTCCCCTAATGCCTTAATTACCCAGGAGGTTCTAGCTGGGAACTGCAGTTTAGCACCCTGCTCCCCTCCACCACTGCAGCTACAGGTCCCTAACCCCCAGTGGCTCCTGCTCCTCTACCTCTTCCTCTGCTGATTTCTTTGTCTTCCCTTGACACTTCTTCCTTATACCCCTTCCCTACCAGGCTTACCTCAACAGAATTTGCCTAAATCCTGAAAATAGTGTCTTCATGTTGTGATTAGCAGCACCCTGTTAAAAGAAACACAACAAAACCCAGCCACAACTCAGCACACAGGGTGGCACTCCCTCCCTTCCCAGCTTTTGTTTACAGTCCTTTCACTTTTTGACTCTTCTCCCCCTTGCATAACACTATCACTTTGGTTACACAACACTGCAGACAGTGTTCTGGGGGATTTTTGCTTGGGGGGAGGATTGCTTTGTCTTTTAGTGGATTTTTTTTGTTTGTGATCTTTTCATTTCCAATGACAATAAAACTTCACTCGCATGAGGCTTTTAAAGGCTCCTCTGCAGCAGCCTTCTCTCCTTGTAAATTGAGTCATTTTTCCTCATAAACACCTGAAATTTTCTTCTTAATAATGAGATTCCTCAGGACCAGGAGGAGATTTTTGCGATTATTTCTTTTTGTTTTGAAACTCAGAAGCCTACAAACAACATTTTAAATTAATGTGACTGTTTCCAGCTTATTCACAGATAAACAGTGTTTCAGATAAGCCAACTTCCACTGTTTATTCCTTGCATAGATGGCATTTCAAAAGGAAAGCAAAGTCCCTGACAGCAGCCAGCCTCTGGTGAAACACCCAAAATTAATCTCAGCAAGAATACTAAAAAATACTGTATTTCAACCTGTTTTAAGGCCTCTTAGAGACAACCTGCAGAAGAGAGGGCAGCTACAAAAGCAAACTGCAACACAACTGCCAAAACCTGGTTTCCTACAGCTTTGTGCTGTTTGTCCTGTAATCCCCAGCCAGCTCCTCCTGGGCAGCCTTCCTGATAATCACTGGACAAAAATAAAGTGCTCTGGCAGGCAGGCACTGCTGCAGCACTGCCTCAGCAGAATGCAGCACGCGGGACCTGAGCCTGGCCAGCTTCTGCAAGCCTTGCCTGGTGGCAGGCATCCCTCAGCCTTTAATTACCCCTCTCAATTTCTGGAAAACCTACAGGATGGTAGTGATTTCTAAGAATAGCAAGAACAGCTCGATAGCACAGCCTGCATTTTCTCATGGAATAGTCTGCAGTAAAAAAGATATTGGTCCCACTGGGCATGTCCTGGTTAGGAGTATGAAAGGAAAAGGAAAGAAGCCCATGTTGAATAACACACCTGGGACCAACATTTAAGAGTGAAAAAAAAAATAATCATTTCAGTAGGCAGCTTTTGTTTTCACTTCAAAAGCAGACCGGTTACTCATGATGTGTATTTAAGCATTGTAGTGTTTTGTTCTATAAATAGATTGGGCAAAAACCCATAAGCCCAAACAGGATTAGTGGGGAGTCTCCACGTTCAGCAGTGCTCACTGTGCAGGCACAACTATCCAGACAAAGCACTCCAGGGTTTTGTACACCCCAGAAGATACAAGCACAAATTCCTCCTACTTGGAGAAAAAACCCACCAAAATACAGCACACCCCCCACCCCAAAGGATCTCTCTTTGAACACTAACAGATCTCCATTTAAGGCAGACCACCCGAAGTTTCAATCATAAAAAACATCCAAAAGGAGGCACTTCAAGTGGAACTCATCAGTACTAATTTATGGTAAAATCCATGACTCATTAAAATATCTGAACAGGTTTGTTTTCCTCCTTGTCCAGATCTGCTTCTGAACAGAGAACTGATAAAATTTCCAAGTTTACTACCACATCATCAACTAATTCTTCTTCAGTCTATATCACCATATTTGCAAAGCAACACCTGAAGTGATTTTTAATATATGTTAAATGCTTTTTGTAGTACAACAGGTGCCTCTGTAAGAAAGTTGCACAGATGTCTCTAACGTAAATATCTGCAATACCTTCTGGTAGTTTTCATCGTAAATTCTGTATCAACATATCAGTGATACTTTTGAATTTCAGCCTTTGAAGACAGGCTACAAAACCTGGTCTTAAATGAAACCTACTCAGCTCTTAAGGTGCTAATTAAGATGACTGGAATTTAAGCTCCTCAGAACATTCCCCAGGATTTCAAACCATGGACCAATACAGCAGGAGAGTCCTAAGGCACACTGACTGCTTTCTGTGTAATTTTTAGCATTTCCTTTTTATTAAACTAGCACAAAAAGGAAGTATTTACCCTTTGACAAAAGGCATACTTTAATAATTTGTAATTTTTTTTAATTGGCTCACATTGCAAATTGGAAATTGAAAATTCCCATTTTTAACTTGCTTCCCGTTAGAGAGGGGTAGGCACGGAATACCTCAGTCACTGCTACATTTTTGTGAGGGGGAGATGCTTCATTTTGCAAAAAGCGGTTGTTAAGTGTAGCTCAGAAGCACAGAGGAGCTCTCATGGCAGGCTGCAGGACCTGAGTCTGAGCTGCTCCCCAGAGCTCTGCTAACTGCTTCATCTAAAGCCCTGCAAGCGGTGCGCGGTCTGGGAAGTGTCGCGCAGGGCCCGCCCCGAGGCCCAGCCCTGCGTGGCCGTGGGCACACGATAATTCCCAGCGGGAAGTTTCCATCCGTTGTTTAAATGCCGGCTGGGACACGCGGGGCGGGCGCGGAGCGGCCCCGCCCCTTCACGCGCGGGCCCCGCCCCCGCCTCACGGCCGCGCCGCGCCCCGCGCTTGCCTCCGCGTCCGGCGGGTTCTCCGCAGCGGCACCGCTGCCGGCGCCGCCTCAACCCCGCACAGCACGGCGCCCGCCACGGCTCGCACTGCCGCTCTTGAAGAGTCCGCGCCCAGCTAAAGCGCAGCGCGGCGGGGCGGGGCCTCCCCCGCTCCTCAGGGGGAGGAGCGCGGCCAATCCGGGGCGCCGGAGGGCGTGGCTCGGGCTGGGGGCGTGGCCTCCCGCCATTGGCGGGGCCCCGCCTGACGCGAGGACACCGCCCTCCCCTCACCCCCCCGCGCGCCGGGGCCGTGAGGGAGGGGAGGGAGCCCCGCCGCTCCCCGCTCCGGCCGGCTTCAACTCTTAACGCCCAGCGTGGGTAAAGAGCTAAAAAAACCTCCTGAACACACACAGAGTCCAAGTTACTAGTGCGAATAAACAGCCCACAAGTTCACCTGCATCACACTGCCTCCCTCCGAACTCCCCCTCAGCGCCCTGAGGTGAACACGGGCACAGAGGGAGAAGCCCCGTTTCCCCGCGGGCTTTGAAGTAACCGCAGACAAGCGTGAGATTGCATAGAAATGCTTTATTATGTTTATTTGACCAAAGTAATTAAAATAAGGCATTCCGGGTTAGATGTAAACATAGAGGTCGGCTGCACGGCAGGTGGCTGCTGCACACTGAGCAGGTGTATGGCAGCAGCAAGAGAGTCAAGCTCTGCTTCTCAAGGGGAAATACAAATTCAAAGTTACATTAATATTTAATGTTGTTTATTTGTTATGAATAGGGCTTCTCTCAAGATTTGCTTCTGAAAAGCAAGGTTTGGATTCAACACAATGGGTTCAAGTCTGAAAGACCAAGCTACCCAACGTTCCAGAGATAAAATTGCCTTTCACTACCACAGCTCTTGACACCCAGAGAACTATTCTGTGTTGTACAAAGACATTTAAATTTTAAGTTCATTAAATATTACATATCCTGCATGTGAGCACACTGTTATTACTAACATGTGCTTTAAGTGCCACTTCCTTTAAAGAACATTATACAGCATATTTATTTTACTTACATTCTGATGTCTGATTTTATGCCATATATTAATATAGAAAAGGATTCCGCAAGACTCTGCAAAGTAGTTAGCATCTGCCCTACTTGTCACTGACAATGTCTCTAGCAATAAGTTCTTTCATTATTTCATTGGTACCACCATAGATTGGCTGAACACGGGCATCCACAAAAGCTCTGAGGGAGGAAAAAAACAAAAGATATTACAAACAATGCCTCAGAATGACCATACAATCAAAAAAAAAAAAAAAAAAAAACAACAAGAGCATTTTCTCTTTAGAGATCCCTCTTTTCAAAGTATACTCTTCCCATTGATAAAGTAGTGCTTATTTTCTAAGAGACTTCAACTACCTAGAATATTACAACTTTCCAGGGTGGGGTGTGCCAAACCAGGAACTGGGTCAGCATCTCTTCCCTGTTTGTTTATAGTGTAAACTCTCCACTATTGCCTCTAATTAAACAAAAATATAAAGCCCTATAAACCCAGACTCCTGCTACTACTCCACTCCCAATTCTTGTTCCTGGTGACAGCACACAGGACAATGACAGAGCTTTTCCATCTCCATTTTGCTTCCTCACACAGGAGCAAAGTGACATTCCCTGGAAATTGACTTATTACTGGAGCACAGAGATAATAAAACCCTGTGTGGGGAACTACTGTACACACAGACAAGCAGGGCTTCAAGGACACCCCAAAGTGGCCTTTCTTTAATAGGACACTGCAGATCACTCACAAATTACACTCTATGAAAACATGGAGGAACAAGTTATTTTAAAGCAACATTTCATACTCAATGTATTTAAAATTTAAATAAAATATAAACCTCCTCAGTTAAAAAAAAATTAGTTTACTTATGACAATGCACAGCAGTCTTGTATTTGCTATTTCTACTGTCAGATTACCACCTCTTTGATAGATTTAATAAAAACAGCACAAAATCTCTACTTAGTGTGTAATGTGGCCTGTACACAAACTTCACAGCAAACACAAAAGGGTATATACAAAAGCTCCAAAAATGTTTCTAAATTCATAAAGTCAGAAAAAAATGGGAATGGCAACTTTCTTTTTCTACATATAAATCCCTTAACTTTTTAATTTTAAAAGGTGCAAAAAAGCTGAATGTAGCCAGTTATGCTCTTGGTTTACTTACTTGATACTCAGTGGTAGAAGAAACATGTTTTCTTCACCCACACGCATTTAATTTCAGATAAAACATAAAACCAGTTGCCCTCATTTCTACTTTTTACAGTTTTGCTTCTGTTTTTTCAATTAACATTTTCTTCTAAAAACACACTTTTCTTTTGTGAAAAAAAACCAGACAATAATAGCTGTACAGATTTTGAGTTATTTGGAGAATCAAACCAAAACCTTCCCGCAGACATCTGTACAGTAGATGCCCTTTCAATTAAACATGAAAAAAGGAACATTAAATCACTACTAACACCAAACAACTAACACAGGGATGCAAAGGAAGTGCCTCATTTGACTTTGCTGGTAATCTTTCACCATACAATCTGAAATGTTCCACTTACTTGGCAATTGGATACTCCCACATGTACCCCCATCCTCCGTGCATTTGTACACACTGGGTAGCGATGCTGTTCTGGAGATCAGAACACCTTAAATGGCCAAAAG